TTTTACCAAAAAAATTATTTGTTTTACCAAAATTGTATCTCGATTTTTTTTAATTTTTATAAAAAGTGGATAATGGCAAATTGAATTTTTTAAAAAAATTTTTATTTATTTCAAAATTTTACTTCTTTTGTTTAAAAAATACAAGATCACACAAATGGTTTTGACTCATCCCTGTATACATTTTGAAGCAAATCGGAGAGGTGACATAATTGGAAGTTTGGCAGTTAATAGTCGTTATAGAACATAACACTTTCTAACAGATAAATTTTTAGTAGCTTAAGCTGCTTTTAAATTTACATTTTTTCGCTAACTCACCTCAGTGAATTCCATTGTAAACGCAATTTAACCAACTTTAATTTCATTTCCATAAAGGAGCGCATTTCCAAGTCCTCAAGTTGTGAATGTGATATTTTTAAGCTTATATTAACTTCCGGTTCAAATTTATTCGACAGAGCATCGACAATTTTATGGAACGAGTCCACCTTCTCGCACGACAACTCCACATAGTTGTCGGCATAGATTGGTTCACAGGTACAGGGCGATAGCTCGGGCCGCACGGCGCAATGCACCGAGGCGACATTCGTAATACTCCAAACTGCATAAACAAACGATGCCATTTTGGCACGATAGGTGTGTAACTTTTATGTTTTGAACTGGTTTTTGCGCTGTTTAAAAATGTTTTCAATTCGTTTTTTATTTTATTTTTGTTTTGTTTTTGCACGTTGTCACTTCGACGAGTGACCGATTATACAGTCAAATAATTATAAAACTTAGTTTTTGTTTTTTTCTGCTTTACTTTTTCAATCTACTAACACAAATTGAATGTTTTTKTTTTAAATATTTTGCTCGGCTGTTTTGAAATGTTACTCACATTTGTTATTGTTGTTGCAGTCAATGCTTATCAATGTGACTTTCATCGCAAAACAATGCGCCGTTAAGCTCGCAAAGCGACGTACGTACGGACGTTTGTGTGTTTATTCGCATGCGTGCGTGTGCATGTGTATGCGTGTGTTTATTTATATGCATTTGCATGTGTGTGTGTAAGTGCCGGCTTTGCGTGACTATCACTGGCGTATTTTATCGCATTAAAGTCGCCTTGTAGGCGTACGCTGGCTTCACGCTAACTCTTACTTTTGACTCTTAGCGCGCGTTCTCAGCCGCTTACTATCATGCACTGTTTCTTCTCTATATGTATGTAGATTTGTGGGTGTGTATTCATGCAAGGATCTAAAAGGCATGCAGCACGGCGTGTTACGGCACGAGCACAAGCACAGGCAACTAACAACTAAAAATCTGTCGCTGAGACAGGGGCTTCCGCCGAGACGAGCTGTTTGCAGGCAATAGATAACTGTTTTCGTTTGAGTCGCGGGTTTTTCGCACGATTGCGGCTTTTTAACGTGTTAATGTACGATTGCGCGGAATTTCCGTGGTGAGTTTCGGGTAACGGTTAATGTGTGAAAAGTTGTTCATAGAAAAATCTAGTTGTTGACGTAATTTTGTTTTAATTGATAATTTTTTATAAAAAAAAATTCAAAAATTATCACTTTTTAATAAATTATTGTTTTCCAGTTTTCGTACTGCTAAAACTATATATTTGCTGTTATTTTTTGTTTTGTTTTTACTTGGGTAATGTCTTCATTATTTTGCTTTTTTTCTTGCTTAGGTAATGCCTTCAATTTATGTCTGTCTAACGCGCTGTACTCAATTCCAATTTATCCAATACATCGGTCAGAAATTTATTTTGTATGAATATGCAAATATATACCGTTAACATTTGACATCCATACAACGCACAGTGCACAACAACAATATAACACTTGTATGAATCTACTTTTACAGTAGTAATTGTAAGAATTACCGTTAAAAAATCTTTCGCCGACTTATTTGCTTTGTGTTTAATATTTTGTTGTTTTCAAGTCGCTTCGAGCACGCTTATAATATTTATTTGCGAGGTTTTTCCACAAGTATTTTTTCGTACTTTTCTTTAAAATGTTATTTTGAGAATTTGACACTCGGTTTACATTTATATTCTTTACTTATAATAAACCCGTTATGTTTGTGCGATCTTTGTACTTTGTTTCGCCGCTGAGCAAATATCAAAATTTAATCTTTTCCTCATTATATAGTACAAACATACATATGTATATAGTTGTATATATACATATAAATTTTAAAATATTTTTCTGATCTTTTGCAGTTTTTGTTTTATTATTTTATTTATTATATTGTATTATTATTTTCAGCTGATATGCGCGCACACCACGATCGTTAAATTTCTACTCAGCTCACACTTCGGTTCAGTTCATTCAGTTGAGTTCAATTGAAAATCGTTGCTCCGCTATTGACGTCCGTTTGCCAACGCGATCCGATTACGACTGGGAAACAAATTCACTGTGACGATGGAGGATAGTCGTTGTGAAGATCAGAATCGATTCTTGAATGGTGGCTGTCAGCGTTTGGCAGTGTTTTGGTTCGACGCCGCTGTATTTGTGGTATGCGTGTATTGGTGCTATTGTTGTTGTTGTTGATGGTGGTCGTCGTCAGTATTGATTCGCTCGGTCGGTGTTATCGCAACGACATACAGCTACTGTTTTTACAGCGCAACTGTTGCAGCCGCTGACAATACAGCGAGATAGGCGCACGTACTCACACACACATGCATGGAGAGTAGCTTTCAATCGCCCGTTGTTGGTAGCGTCCAGCTCACAGCTCCAGTCAGCCTACACACATACATACATACATCTGTGGGAGCTTTTTGTTGTTGCTTCATTTTTGCAGTGCACTTTTGAATCAATMTGTGGCAGGCGATCGATTGCTCGGCTCGGCCGCAGGTTTGTGTTGCGTTGTTATTATTGYACATTTGTGGCGCGCTCCTGCAATTCATGTTGGTCGTTGCTTCACACCTATCCTCTTATAYTGGCTGGAAAGTTTTTATCAGCGGCCACTGCGATAAACTCATCATATCTAATCCGGTAATTAGGCAATTGTACACGCAATCCATCCGGAAGAAAGTATTCTCATATAAATCAGCATCTCTCTGTGCAATAAAGTGATGGTTGTCGTTGTTGTTATTGCAMTTTTTTCATGCTATTGCTTCTAATTAGCAGTTCGGTTGCTTTATTGCCTCTTTGCCGACCACTGGCTAAAGTTTTAAGTGGCAATCTCATTTTTAACTGATATATTCGATCAGCTATTGCTGTTAAAAGATCAATGGAAGCGTATAAGTAGCTTACAAGAATAGATATTAGWGTATAAATACATACRTACATATGTACTAACACTTACAGAGTAGATAATGACTTGGTATAGTTAACCAACACTGGCTTTCTTGGCTCCTTTTCTTAGCGTTATTTTCGTTATACTCTGAACAGTGTATAATGAGTTTGCCGCGAAGATTGTAACACCCTCAAGGAAACGTCGGACATACTGTAAAATAAAGTATACAGGGTTTGTCCGGAAAGTAATAGGACTGAGTTTTTCCGTCGCGACTGTACTTCGGAGCCTGCACGCACCGATTGGATTCGGTATAGAACGTTCCTATATAACGAACGAGCGGCTGGTCAGTTGTCTCCGAGCACTTGAAGAGTCAGAACAACATTTTCGTTCGGCATGTTTCTGGGAGTGGTGCAAGCCAAAAATGCAACGTTCATAAGATCAGAGGTAAGCGATTAAATTGTGTGTGAAATTCGGTAAATCTGCCTAGATGTTGATTTAGTAAGATGTGGTGTGTTTTGGTGGCACCAGGCCCCTTTAGAGGACTAGGAAGATTTTGAAAGTTTTTAAACAATTGTAACGATTGATTCAATACATTTTTTTTTAAATCGACTCAGTCCTATTACTTTCCGGATAAACCCTGTAAACCAAATGATCAGTGGGACGAGCGGGGTCATGCCTATCAATCCGTGTATACGGGAACTACTTCCTCAATTTCTSGAAATGAAATTTTCCACACGTTCTCTTCTTCCCAAGAGGCTGCTTATTTATCGGAAYCAMCGATATCGRACCATYATAGCATGTAGTTGTCATACAGACTGAACGAACAAAATCAAGTTTGTGTCCGGAAAACTTTTTTAGTTAATGAGACAAGACCACGCTGTAKTCTTGGAACAATTTCTTCAGAACGAACCATTATAGTATACACAAACTGGTTTCCATTTGGTCAATCCAGCCCATCGGCTCTGTAGCAGCGTGATTAATGGAATTTGCATATTTTCGCGTAATACTTTTTTGATCTCCTATTATTAAGCGATTATACAAAGATTTCAAATTTTATGATTCGTGAAATTTCACAGCTGATGACTCATAACTCRCCGTACTTTCCTAATTTCATATAAAACCCGCTGATTGAATATATATTTCCCGATGACCGCATACATAACTAAATGAAGAATAAATGCCATTAAAGAAATTGTGTCTATGCGCTCTATGAGTATTAATAATTTGCATACTCTCGCAACATGTTGCTACAGAGTACAATAGCTTTGCCTATCTACCGGTTGGTAATTGAGATGGATATAGGGTTATATGTTTATATATTTATATATATATATTATATATATTATATGTGATCAGAATGATGACACTAGTGGAATTCGTTCTTCTTGATTAAACTTGATACACATATCCCTTGGCACCTTGAGAACGTAAAACTACTACAAAGCGTATGACGAAGTTAAATTTGGATGATACTGTGAAACCAAAAAAATGGTGATCTTTATCTTTCCGGCCGATAGGGAAGTCTTCCCCATCTTCGAAGCAGATATACGGAATGAAGTAATCGGTGTACAAAACTACTCGACTGTGAATGTTCCAAWAAATGGTGTGAATTTATGGGTGTCTCAAGGTAGCGCTTGTTTTCAGAAACTTTCTCATGTCCAATATTTTAGGGAGGATGTGACCAACGAGGCTTTTGAGGTGCCTGCAGTATCAGATATCGCATTCGTCTTCAGTCTTTGGTCTACTAATATGAGATCATCGACCAATGTCACAAAATCTAGCCATTTTCAGGGCACCTGGGCATGACTGACACTTTTCGATTGTCGCCATCCAAAGATAACAATGCTTTCCTGAAACAACGATGACTTCCCTTTCAAAAACAAGAATCGAATCACCGCCAAATCTTACACTTTTTTATGTGTCTCAAAATTTTGAGTTTCACTTTACTAAGTTTCTTGGGCAGTAGTGGCGCCGTCGGGCGGTAAAGCTAAGTAAATGTGGGCTTACCTTGTATTGCCGAATGATATCAGATATTTCAGTGGCATTAAGTGAGCAATATCTTAGCAATAAAGTTGTGTGTTAATATATTATGAAATCGGTCCACTTGTTCCCCGACCATAGTTTAATGTAATTGATTCCCCTGCCGCATCCGATTGATTGTAATTGATTCACAATTTCGTCGAATAAATTTTTGCCAACACCCGAACATTTTKCACATCAACAAGAAAGCCCTAACTTCCTAAAATTTTAATAATTAAATAACACCATTTTTTTCTCAGTGTACGCATATTATTTATTAGGTCTTCTTTGCCTTTAATATATCCATATCGTTGCTGTCGTCGTAAAGGAAATGCTAAAATTTTATAATTGTTTGTAATGTGACACCGAATTGATCAGACACACTAGACTTGAATATCAACATATAAATATTGCATCTAAGAATACAATAACAAAAACATTGGCATGCGTTGCACATGTGTTTTTCTTAGCGTTTTGCTCTTTTGCTCTTGGTTTTGCTTTACTTCTGGCTTTACCCATTATTTACAAGCAATCAATTACCCATGGCTTATCTCTGAGCAAATAAATATACCTAAATCCGAAGAAAATGAACACAATGTGACAGAAAACGTGATAATCACAACGAATGTGACACCGCACATACATATCGACACCTCTACACGCACATATGCATTTATGAGTGTGCATACTTGCATCGATACCAAAGCGGGTACATACATATGTACATATATACGACTATAAGCCGTTGGGCATGCAATCGTTATCAGCGATTTAGTGCAGTTGAAGTGGCAATTGACATTAAGTACGCAAGCACGGCATGGCGCTAAAGAGACATATTCATGTTTGCATGGGAATTAGTGGGCTCAATTGTAAGCATATGTGCGTATGTATGGGTGCAATGTAGATAACAAGTCGATTATTGGGATGTTGCAAGTCCCTAAAAATTTGCTTGCGCACACTTTCACACGCACGTACGCACGCAAGCAGTCTTACATAAGTATGTTATACGTTGAGGCGTCTAACAGTGCTCTGATTATCGTATTTATTTCATTACTATCGTTTCAAAGGTGTTATATTGCATGAGCGATTGGTTTTTCCAAAAAAAAAAAAACTAATTTATTGCTGCCGGAGGCTTTATACCTTAAAAGTCATGTCATTCGACTCCCGAAGAGTTGATTATAACTTCAAATTTTCCGTTCACTCCACTTTTCCAATGCAAGACAATAAGTAGTTCGTTATTGCCCTGAAGATGGTATATTAAGTATGCCACGAAGTTTTGTTTGCAACACCGACAAGGAAACGTTGTGGCCCCTATTAAGTAAATATTATATATAAATAATCAGAGAGACAAGCTGTGTCGATTTAACCATGTCTGTCTGTATATACGCGTAATAGTTCCACAGTTTTTGAGACATCGAGCTGAAATTTGGCACATGTCCTTTTCTTCACAAGTATCGGACCACTATAAGATATATACGCCTTATATACTGACCGATCATAATTAAGCTCTCATTAGAATAATTTTTTTGTTCAAGAATTCTTCTTAAAATTTGATGTCTTTTTTTCTAATTAAGTAATCTTAATTCGATTTGACATGGCTAGAAAGCAGCTTTTTCTCAAGACGCATAAGAAATGGGTATTGATATTGCAATGATGGCACACTAATGTTGCACATCTTAAGAAATAGTTAGAGATCTGAAATAGCTCCGGTTTACATATTCTCCTGAAATATCTCTAAAACTGAACCCAAAATACTTTAAGGTCTTATGCCTCTGACGTCAAAGCTTCTATATAAAATAAATGTAAATGATATTTAAAAAATATGTGGTATATTTTGCCTTACTATGCCAAATACGAGCGTGATCTGTCAACCAGTTTTCTTACAGCAGCTGCTTAACCGAATCATCCAACAAAGAATTTGTCTCAAATATT